CATACCAAGTGCGGGGCCTCGGGGAGCCAGAAGCCAATTAGGCGCCTCCCCGCCCCCCGGGACTGTAAAAATCCGCTCGCAGAGTTACTGTGCACAGGAATGGGGTGTAGCCCAGTAGCAGGGCTCCCCGCCGACTCAGAGGTCCTGGATTGTATCTCTGGCACCCGCCAAGGGCTGATCGATCTAGAAACACAGACTAGCCGGTGGGGCGAGGCAAGGCTCCCCGAAGGAGGAGTGCTTGCTCTGAGGCAGGATTTGTGTGAGCTGGATTAACCGACGGAGGGAGAGAGAGAACTGTGGGGCGGCCACAGGCCTGCCCGGGGACGGCAGCGGGGACGTGTGGGCTCGTTGCATTGGCTTTGGGAAGGTGGCCAGTGGACCTGCGGAGCCCTGGGATGGAGGGAGTGAAGGGTGAGGTGCCCAGTACCTGTAAGGAGTGGAGGGGCCCCAGCAAGGCGGTACTGGGTAACTTGAGAGCAACTTCCGTTTTACAGAGCCCGCGCCCCTACCCTGAACCTCTTGTGGTGCCCAAGCCTTGCTGATCATAGGTTTCCAATCTCATTCCACCATCCTCAGAGCCCAAGAGGAAACCTGGCTCCTCCCTGCCTCTTCCAGGTCTTGAGGGTATTTACAGTCTCCGTCCTCAAGGGGGATTGTCTATTTAAATTTTTATTTATTATTATTATGTGTGTGTTTGTGTGAGATGCGTATGAATACATGCACGAATCAAATTCAGGTCGCTAGCCTTAGTGGACGGGCTTCTTTGTTTACCCCCTGAACCATGTAACCACCCCTCAAAGGGGATTTTCAGTGGGGTGACACCGCAGGTAAGGAAGTTTCCAGTCGTTTATATCTAACAGCCACCTGTTAGGTGCTAACAGTCCCAGTGTTTGATGATCTGAGGGTGGCCCCCCTCCATCCACCTGTTATAGCGACACAAAGTATCCTCTGCATTTTCAGACTGCAACTATGTCAAAACAGAGGGCTGGGGTTTACTATTTGTCTGTGAACTTGGTCCACAATTTTTCAGCATTAAGTAAGTCAGGTTGTGAATGGCAACACCCACCCAGCAGGGCTCGCCTGTGTTTGGAGCTATTCTTTGGCTGATAGATGACCACCAGTGTTCCAGAATGCCAAGCTCTGTGTGTGTGTGTGTGTGTGTGTGTTTGCACGCGCATGTGCTTTCGTGTGTATTTGTGTGTATATGTGTATGCATCTGTGTGTGCACATGTATGTATGTACATGTGTATATATGTGTGTATATACGTATGTGTGTATGTGTGTGCACATGTATGTGTGTGCACACATGTATGTGTGTGCATGTGTATATATGTGTGTATGTGTGTGTGTGAACACGCTTACTGCAGAGGTCAGGATAACTCTGTGGAGTCACTTCTAAAGTTGTAAAGTGGATATGGTCCCTTCGAGCAGAGAGGTCCTTCTCAGCCCTCCGTTAGTGTCAGGCTCAGGATTCGGAGACTTCCTGGTGTCCAAGCCTGTGTGCCTGCTGTGAGTATGGTCTTCTTATGACTCACATGTGAGTGTTTGGGGATCCCCAGAGAAGACAGTCCCTAGGCTTGCTTAGAGGTGGTGTGCTGCCTGGTTTTATATCAACTTGACACAAGCAAAAGTCAGAAGGAGAGGAGGGAACCTCAGTTGAGAAAGTGCCTCCATAAAATCTGGGCTATTAGTAAGCTTGTTTTCTTTTTTTTTTTTTTTTTTTTTGGTTTTTTCAAGACAGGGTTTCTCTGTGTAGCCCTGGCTGTCCTGGAACTCACTCTGTAGACCAGGCTGGCCTCAAACTCAGAAATCCACCTGCCTCTGCCTCCCAAGTGCTGGGATTAAAGGCGTGTGCCACCACCACCCGGCGTAAGCTTGTTTTCTTAATTAGTGATTTTTAGGAGAGGACCCAGTCATTGTGAGTGGTTCTACCTCTGGGCTGGAGGTCCTGGGTTCTATAAGAAAGCAGGCTGAGCAAGCCATGGGAAGCAAGCCAGTAACCAGCACCCTCCATGGCCTCTGTATCAGCTCCTGCCTACAGGTTCCTGTCTTGCTTGAGTTCCTGTCCTGACTTCCTTCAGTGATAGACTCAGATGTGGAACTGTGAGTCAAATAAACCCTTTCCTCTCCAAGTTGCTTATGGTCATAGTGCTTCAGCAATAGTGACCCTGACTAAGACAGGTGGATCTGGAATTTTCTCATATCTCCCCAGTCCATGGCAAGGGCCGGTTCTAATGCTCTTGGTTTCACCTCTGCCTACACCCATGTCACTGGGCCCTACACAACAAGCTGTCTATGGGGCTAAACTCTTTGTCCTCTGCCCTGGCCTTGCTAACTCCTACCACAGAACCCCTCCCCAAACCAGCTCCACCCTTTCTCACTTCTTCCTTCCGCTGAAAGATTCCTGTTCTACAGTTAGGCATCACCTCCCCAGAGCCATCCCTACCACCAGATGGTGTCCTTTTCCAGGACAATAGAGCCCTGCCCCTCTACAGACACACAGACACACACAGACACACATACACACACACACACACACACACACGTGTCAGGCTGCATGCCATCACGTCTGTATTAATCACCCTGTACCTCAGGCATTCAGCCAGAATATTCCTAAAAAACAGGCTCAGGGAACAGGCTGGGATTGAGCTGAGGCAGGGGTGGGGGTGGGAGAGTCCCAAATATTTAAAGACATATTCTCACAAATTAGTGATACTATTATGATTTGTTATTGTTCTCGTGTGTGTGTGTGTGTGTGTGTGTGTGTGTGTGTGTAATGGCGTGTGCATGTAGATGCCTGTGGAGGCCAGAAGAGGGCGACACACCAACAGGCAGTTGCCAGCTGCTGGGCTCTCCCCCTCTGCAGGCACAGCGAGCACATTTAATGGCTGATGCACCTCTCTGGCCCTGAGAAAGCATTTTAGGAAAGCAACACTAAGTATATAAATCTGCACGGACCCAAACATCAAAACGTAAACAAAAAGACAAGATCAACACCAAGTTTGTGATTTTTTTTTCTCTCACTTCAGGCTCAGCAAGGTGTGTAATTTATTTGATTCTGTTTTGATTTGAAAGTTTGAATCTTGGGGCTGGAGAGATGGCTCAGTGGTTAAAAGCACTGGCTGCTCTTCCAGAGAACTGGCTTCAATTCCCAGCACCCACATGACAGTTAAAGCCATCTGTAACTCCAGTTCTGGGCAATCTGATGCCTTCATCCTGGCCTCCTCCTGCATGCAAGCAAAGCTTCTATACACATAAAATGAGATAAAAAAAATTTAAAGACTGAATCCTTTTTTTAAAAAAAAAAGAAGGAACATAGATTTACTAAAGAAAAGTGAGATCTTCCAGGAGTAGGAGAGGCTGCAGGAAGGAATTCTCTAAAAGTTTTCTCCTAAACCCTTCACTGGGCACAGCATGTGGCTTTGCTCTGGAGACCTGCAAAACAGTAAGAAAGAGAAGACGTGACATCTCTCCCAGCACCCTCTGCTACTCTGCCAAAGCAACTTTCAAGGAACCCAGAGGATCAGCAGTTGAAGGGAATAACTCCATCTAAACCATGGATTTTCTTTCTTTTTAAAAATTTTTATTTCTTATGTATGTGAGTGCTCTATCTGCATGTATACCTGTGTGCCAGAAGAGGGCACCAGACCCCATTACAGATGGTTGTGAGGCACCATGTGGTTGCTGGGAATTGAACTCAGGACCTCTGGAAGAGCAGGCAGTACTCTTAACTGAGCCATCTCTCCAGCCCCATAGATTTTCTTTATACAAATATATGTATGTGTGTGTGTGTATTTGTTCAATCATCTTTGACCTGAGAAAAGTTTAAAAAGCAAAATTGTCTTGGAGTCACTAAGTAACCCAGCCTAGCCTCAAAACCATGATCTTCCTGCCTCTTCTGCCAAAGTGCTGTGGTTACAGGCATGTACCACCACACCTAGCAAGCTTCATAACTACTAAAAGCAGTGTTGGGGCTTAAGAGATAGCTCAGTCTGTAAGGTGCCTGCCATGCAAGCGTGAGGACCTGGGTTTAAATTTTTAGCACCTACTCAAAAGCAGGGTATAGGAACATGTGTCTGCAAACCCAGACTCAGGGTTGGGAACAGACAAGAGAATTCTCAGAGTTCATTGGCCAACTGTCAGCTTGGCAGAATTCAGTGAGGAGTCCTGTCTCATAAAGCAAGGTGACAAGTGGTTGAGGGGACCTTATGACTTCTGGTCTCCACATACATGTGAACATACCCACACGTACATGCAAACATACCTGCACATACATGTAAACATGCCTGTACACACATGTAAACATGCCCACACACATGTAAACATGCCCGCACACACATGCAAACATACCTGCACACATGCAAACATACCTGCACACATGCAAACATGCCTGCAGATACATGCCAGCATGCCTGCACAGACATAAAAACATGCCTGCACACACATGCAAACATGTCTGCACATGCATGTAAACATGCCTGCACATGTTCATACTGCACATGTTACTGAGTTGTCAGTTCTTGTCTAGGCATTATGTAAGGCATTGCATGGTACATGTGTTGGAGATGAAGTTTGGTGGCAGGTAATGTCACTGAATTTCACCATTACCACAAACTCCAGGTCCCTCCACCCCACCATTTCCTCCTGGAAGCCTTTCCTGGCCTCTGGCTGGGTTTGGTGGTAATAATGTTTGGGGCTTGTTTTGTGTATATTCTGGTTCTTTGTAGGGTTTTTTGCTTTTTGTGTTTTTTTTGTTTTTGTTTTTGTTTTGAGACTGGGTCTCAGTATGTAGCCCTGTCTGTGCTAGAACTCATTATGTAGACCAGGCTAGCCTTGGACTCACAGAGATTTGCTACCTCTGCCTCAGGGTTAGTATTGGGACTGAAGGCCTGCGCCATCAGTCTCGTCTGGTAGGGGATATTGGTTCTTGTCACATGGAGTGAATCTCATGAATGAGGAAGTAGCTACACAGTGTGGTTAAGCTGCTCGCCAAAGGTCACAGTACCAGGAACTGGTGAAGCCCTGTGGCTCTGCTTCAGAATTCAAACCGTGGCTGAGCCTTCAGGACAGCTTAGGAAGGAGAAGGTATGACGACTCCGATAGCTTTGCATTTTAGGAGCTAAGGGCTTGTGATTTCTCCTTTAACTACTAGTTCAGAAATGAAATTCCTACTTCCTAGAGCCCTGGAAGGCTGAATCACAGCCCATGAAAATATGTATATCCTAGTCCCCAGAGCATGTCACCCTGTGGAGACAACACGAGAAGTGTTCAGCGTTAAATAAGTGTAGACACATCTCCTCACAGAGGCGTGAGTGCTGAGTTTACGGATGTTCGGTTAGGGTTTGAGTCGGTGGCCCAGCAGTTCATGCTGCATGCTCCTGCAGCCTGTGAGGTAGGGGGTGAGAGTGGGGGTGGGGTAAGTGGGGTGGGGTAAGAATGGGAGTGGGGTGGGATGGGGATGGGGGGATGGGGTGGGGGATTGGAGAAGGATAGGGTAAGGTAGAGGTGGGGCAAGTTAGGGGTGGAGAGGGAAGTCTTTAGGGCTGAGTACTCAGCTGTCTCAACTCTTTGACCAGTTAGTCAGTCGCCCCTGAATTAAATGTTGGCCATCGCATGAAGAAGTTTTTCTAGCCAAGGTTCAAGGCAGGACTAATCTATGCATATAAGCATAAATATTCGGAAGGTCGTTCCTCAGCATGTCATTTAGCAAAACAAAAGTAGTAGGCTCCTCCCTATGACCTGTAACCTATGACCTGTGACCTGTGACCTTTTGAGCCATAGGCTTTTGACCAGGTTTACAACACCAGGCCTGAAGTCTTTCCAAGACAAAAAGCAGTTGGTCACCCCCATGACGTCTGTGCCACTATTGCCTGGTGAGCAGATCTCACCTGTCAGGTGAACATTGTAGGGTGCAAGACCGTCACTGTCTTTTCTTGGCCGCTGGCCTGCATGGCACCTGTCAGCACTGTGAGAATTACCCACCAGAGAGCGAGTTTTCAGGTAAATTTCCACCTCACTGCACTGTATCCTGTCTCTGAAGTGTGTTGTGTCTTAGCAACGGGTCTTACCACTTAGTTCTGGTAGGTAGTCAAGAGCAGTGGTAGACTCCTTGACTAACTTGTAAAGGGGTTTCCCACAACTCGTACTGAGATTTTTACATAATAACCCATCCATGTAGGGTCCCTGTGTTCAAAGCCCTCCTGTTAAAAACCAATTAATATATTTTAAGAAGAGCTATGTAATCTATAATATGGCGTGGGCTGGAGGGATGGCTCACTGGTTAGGAACACTGTCTGCTCTTCCAGAGGTCCTGAGTTCAATTCCCAGCAACCACATGGTGGCTCACAACCATCTGTAATGGGATCTGATGCCCTCTTCTTGTGTATGTGAAGACAGAGACAGTGTACATGCATACATAAAATAAATAACTAAGTCTTTATAAGATGGCATGTAGAAGGACATTGCAGAGAGGTTTTTATATATTCAACTAATGGTAGAAACTATAAAGAAATAAAAGCAGATTAAAAATAATTTTTGAGAGTGGATCTAGCTATGCAGACCAGGATAGCCTCAAATGCACACGATCTTTCTGCCATAGCCTTTCAAAGCTATATCAGAGGTCTAAGCCACTATGCCACCTAAAAGTAGATTTAAATAAAAGCATATAGCTGTTGGGAGTGGCATATGCCTAACATTTTAAATCTGAGGTAGGAAGACCGGGAGTTCAAGGCTAGCCTCGGCTACATAGTGACTTGGTGAACAGCCTGGGGTACACGATGATACTTTGTCTCAAAACTAAAGCAAACAGAATTTAAGTCTTTGGTAGCTAACTAGCATTTACAACAGAGGGGTAACGTCTATACATATAGAAAGAATGCTCTCCAGTCAGCAAGAAAAATAATTGTCGTGCCTCGGTGGAGCAGTTAGGGTTAGGGTGAAGACATGATGTGAAGAAATAAACTCCAAAGACCAAGAGCCTGTGAAAATACGTTCAGGTCTGGGGCGGGGGCGGGGCCAGCGAGGCCGGTGTAAAATCTCCTCATAGACAGGGTGGGACAAGTACAGGTGGATTCTGAGGTGAACGACCTTGAAGTTTTTAAATAGCCAGAGCCTTCCTGGAGGGCAGAGTGATCATATTTCTCATGTACCACGTCTTTCACACAGTGGTTGCATTTTTTAACCTTTATTATTTTTTTTAATGACTTCTCTATTTTTATTTTACGTGCATTGGTGTTTTGCCTGCATGTGTTTCCGGGCAAGGTTGTCAGCTCCCCTGGAACTGACATTACAGAGAGTTGTGAGCAGCCCGGTGGGTGCCGGGAATTGAACCCGGGTCATCTGCTCTTAACCGCTGAGCCTTTCCCGCCCCAGTGGTTGCATTTTTAGAAGTTGATCCTGGAGCAGCGATTAAATGAGGGTGACAGAAAGACGTCCAGGACAGCTGTTTGAAGGATCGGAAAATAGGATCAGAAAATAAGAAAGGATGCCAAACAAGATGGTTCATTCCTGCAGTTCCAGCACTTAGGAGGCTGAGGCAGGAGGATGGATGTCTATAGTCTAGGTCTGTCTGGATTAATGAGACCATGTCTCAAAACAAAACAAAACAAACAAAAGGAGACAGAGACAAAGAGAGACAGAGAGACAGAGACAGAGAGACAGAACGAGACAGAGAAACAGAGACAGAGAGAGACAGAGGGACAGAGACAAAGAGATAGAGACAGAGACAGACAGAGACAGAGAAATAGAGACAGAGAGAGACAGAGGGACAGAGACAGAG